AACAGTTCCGTGTTATTTTGAAGTTGTTGCGCCGATTTCACTTCGTCTGTCGCGTACTACCCCTCGAACTAAGTGATGGATGGCATCCTTCGTTCTGGTTGGTCCCTCGGCGGGAGGCATGACGCGGCATCCTGCTCATTGCAAGCAGGCAAGCACATCCCGAGCAGTGCCTTTGTCTGAAATGTGCTCGACAAGATGGAATTGTGCAAAACACCTAAACCGAGCCCACATGCACGATTGCGACGGGTTTGCTTGATAATGAACGTGTGTGGCGCCAGCAAATCAGGTGTCGATTTCTGTTTGGTAAGTGACACTGTCTGACAAGACCTTGAAACATTTCCCGGGAGTTATTATGCCTCGTTGAGTATACCAGGATCTTGGGAATTCGGCTTTGTTATTGGAGTTTGAAATGCATTTTAATTTATTCAACAACTTAAAATGAAACGTGGGAACATCGTCCGCAGTTCGACTCCACACCCAACAGAAAACTATTTTTAGACCCAGCCTTAGCTGCTTACCGTCAGAGATTAGATTCTTGAAACGAGAGTACGAAATATGGGACGCTCTGAGGATGTGCGGACACACGATCTGGAGGTAAGCCGATTTGCTTGACCTTTCGATTTTTAAGGGACTGATGAATATTGCGAGTTGGTTGGACTAGGGTATGTTTATTTCATGTAACATGCTAGGAGCTTATGCAACGCAAACCAAAGCTTGCAACATTTGCAGTTTCTCTTCATGACACCCGGACCTGGTCATATAATCGGCGAGCCGGTCAGCAGCCGGCCGCCGACCCGAAAACCGGCTGGCCGCAGCCACCCGTGGGAAGAAACCTCCAGCTAGTTATCAGCCGGATAAGAGAATCGAAGGCTGGCCTTACCGAAGCCAATGAAACGACCACTCACTCCGTAGACAGCTCAGCCCCTGGGCCCACCAGAGCCAGTGTGGCCGTTGCTCCCGTAAGATGCAGCGCAGCTGACGGCCTCACCAGAGCCAGCTCCACGGCCATTCTCGCCACCCGCCAGGTATCAATCCATAATTGCACCGGAACAGTTCGCAAAAACGGAACAGTTCGCAAAATATCCTATGACATCACTCTTCTTGCTAACCGGGGCTTGAAGGGACTGTTCCGTCTTTGGAGCATATTTAAAAAACACACTAGCGAAACCTTAGGACCAATTACGTCCAATAACAGCGATGCGTGGTGTCACTGCAGCGTTGTCGAGACATAATAGCATGACAATTTTAATCATTTTATTTTCAAAATTACGTTTCCATCGCTTTGCATGAGTACTACCTTTCTTCCCTTTAGTCGCGACCATCGTCGTCAAGACAACTACCGTGCCTCTACTGGTGCGAATACTAGAACGTTTGTGATTGACCCAGCATGCAACGGCCTGTACTTTGGCTAAGAAGCTGGTTGGTTGAAATTTGAGCCAGCACTGTCCCATGGATCATGTGGTACTCCCATTCCAAAGCCAAAGCACACATCGAAAACAGCCACTGTGATAAACGCCATAAAAAAGGTTTCTTTTATTTCGTGGTAAACACCATAGGGGAGAAATAAAAGCCATAGTACAATATTTTGTTGAATTCGTGGGATAATGGCTTCATGTTCGCGTGTGTCTTATGTCTAATCAGAGTGTCTCAAGCTTTCGTGGTATTAAGTACACAAACATTTGTACATATGAGTGTCTGGTAAACGTTATGGAACAAGAACACTTTGAACAAACACAATAAAAAACTAGAACACTTCGGAAAAAGGAAGGCCAATTAAAGGTATTGCTGTCATAGTGGTGAGCGGGGAGTTAAACAAGATTTCATCCGAAGGGTCGGCTATTTCAAATAAAAATTCTGGACTATTGGGAAGAATTTCGACAAAACTGGCATTACTGATCGAGACGTGCGCGTCTGGTGTAAGAATAAGCAAAAAAGTACAAGAAGTAGAATGCTCCTTTTAGCCCAAGACAACAGCAGCCGCCCGTCTTAGACCTGTACGCAGCACGAACATCAAGGTTGCATGTAATCTTGTAGGTGGACATGAAATAGCACATCAGATAACAGCGCCAGATCGGGCTTGGTCTACAGGAGTGGTGCACGGTAGCTCAGCAGGCTAAGATGGTACATATTGTTATAGCTACAGCGCGCGTGGGCTGACCACCTCTCAACATCGCAGACCGGGACTCCAGCTTGAGTACCCTCAAACAAGGAGCCTCCTAGATTAGCTGTGCGTTCTAACGCTTCTAACAGAGACGCCATCCATGACAATCCTTGGACAATTTGCACGGCGTCCTAGAGGAACTGACAATTAGTTACGTCCTGTAAGCCAGTGGGCTCCTCACGACACGAGCACAGCCAACGGCAGCCCACAGCCTTGTACTGAGCCCAATTCATAACTGTGTGGCGACCATTCCAAACCATTTGCCTCAAGTGGCACGATGATTTAAAACGCCGCGTAGCAGACTGATCATGTTGGTTGCAAGATGCTGAGGCCAGCTATGACTCGTACGGCCATTAATAAGCCCAGCTATTTTGGTACGTGGTACTGTTAAATACGTGAAGCGAATCTTGACTGAAAACAGTCCGTCAAAAGCACTGATCTGAAGGACATTGGAAAAATACCGTGTCACCATTGGTCAGTTTCACCATTGGTCATGAATTTTACTACCAACTATACGATGCCAATGACATGGTAAAGTTGGTAGTTTAGTTCCGTCGCCTGCTAAATGCTGTCCTGATTTCAGCTTCTTTGAAGCATTTTGTGTCTCGACTTGCCCATACAGCGAAACACAATGTGTTGACATGTGCACTGCACACGCTGCAAGCGTTAGCAAGTTCAGACCAGTGCTAAGCTTTCAGCTTCACCTAACTGGAATGGTGTATCATAATTTCTCTCCTTTTTCGCAATTTTTTCACCCAATACGTCGCAAAAGTTTCCATTCTTGTCACCGATCACATCATGTAAGTCGGTAGCTTGCTTCAACCCTAGCGATGACGTGCATTGATCACGCGTTGAACGTGTTTCGTGTCCAACGACCTCTGCATATCAGCTTAAATGTGAAATACAGACGTCACAAATGCCGCCAGAAAGTCTGATGGCTACTAAGATCAGTCCAGCCCAAGTACGGCATCGGAATGCAGGACAACACGATCTGACTTCTGCGGAAGCGGCTGCTGGCGTCGCGCGCGCGTTCGCCAGCGCTTTTGCGCGCGGCGCATCGTGCTCAATGGCGCGAAAACCACGGGTTCGCTGACTATAAAACACGTCGAGTTTGTGATTGATGCATTGGGAACCAAAACAGAACACGGCTTTAAGCGAATTTTGCCGAGGCTGCACTATTAGACTGAAAATTCCGCAGCAAGGTCATCACCGTCCAATTGGGGGCCAATACATGGAGTTGTCAACTTTCCACGCACAGATGGTTACCATTGGTGTGGTCACAGTCAGCACAGGCCTTACGACAGCGCAGACTGCAGGAAAGCAATTATTGACGACAATGATACTGAGCGTTGAATGCTTTCCACACGGCACACCAACAGCCAGCTACCATGCTAATGAAGTTTGGAATCATCTCACTTTTTCGGGCATATGTTGACGCCTGGACACGGCACGTGTGAACACGTCAACCACGCGTGCGCGTGTGCGTGCGAGCGGGCGTGCATGCGTATTTGTGTGCGTGTGTATGTGCGTGTGCGCGAGTGCGTGTGCGTTCCGGGGGCGCATGGAGGCGCGTGTGCGCCTGACCCGGTTCCAGCTCCCAGTGCCACGATGACCGCCTGATCCTGGCTTCCGCTGTTGCCCGTCGGTTGCGAACACTGAGTATGATAACACCGCTATCCACCTCCGGTCTGTCCGTTCCCGTGCCAAATATCGCCTCGCTGCCACGCTCGCTGACCAACGCCAGAGCGGCCAGACGGATCAGGCCCTGCTCGAGTGCAACTTGAGCTACCGACGTCAGAGATGATTGGCAATAAAGCGTGCGCTAGCCGGGCAGCACCACTAGGGAGCAAGCAGCGGGGGCTGTCGAGCACCGACGGAAGTTGCGGGCCGGCGTTGGCCAAACAGATGGCCCACTCAAGCACGTGCAGTGCGTCCACGTCAGCCTGCGATGCGGCAGCTCCGGTTCCCTGAGCTCGGCGACGGCGCCGGCGACGCCGCGGCTCCCCGTCCGACCAGAACGGGTGCACTCGCGGCTACGTGAGCGCGATGCCCCCTACTCGCGGAGCAGTGGGAAGAGGGCATCACGGACGGGGGCACTCCTGTGCGAACTTAGCGCGAGCTTGTGCGCATCCACCTGCACTAGGTCGGATGGGTCCGAGCCCCAGGCATCAGAAACGGTGCCAGACACGAGAGCGCTCCGCCCATGGTGCCCGAGCCGACCTCGATCCAGAGTGGACTCGGACTCTAGCCCACACGGGCTCATGTCGCGTCCCCAACACCAAGACGAGAACACAGTGCAGCCCGTGTGACAGCGGCTACACCACCCTATACCGCAATCGAGAGAACGTAGGCACCTGCCCATCAAAACCTTCCCGTTACACGGACTTTGCCAGCCCCCAGTCTCCGGGCGTCCTGTGCCCGTGGCCTGGGTTGTGCCTTGCATTCACTCGCCCGGGCTCAGGCCTGAACAACTGCGCACAGCTCAGTGTCGCCTGCCGATATAAGCCGTCCGTAATGGCTCGGCTTCGGACGGATATCGCCTGGAGAGGCTATTCTGGGAAACAGGCTATTCCAACTCGCATGCCTGGCGATGGCGCGCCGCATTCAGCCTTTGACCGTGTTACATGTCCACACCAGAGCGTGGCGTCCCGCCAGGACGACGCGGCCACTTTGGGCTTAAGGCTGAAGTTGTTTGTTGGTCAAGTTTACATTGTGTTAGCAAGAATTGATCTCGCTGAATTGGTGCCGACCAATTGTGTGTTTGAGGCAAGTACAATCCATGCGTGCAACAGAGCAGACACGCATGGTATGAAACTCACAACCTGATTATGGAACTTACCGATGAAATCCAAATCAGGCTGCGCCATTTTAGGAATTCGAGACGACCACGCTTGACAATGGATGCTCTCCGTGCCGTCTTGTTCGCCAATTTTCTCTGCAAAGAATACATATCACATAAAGGCCGGTGCAGTGCGTGGAGGACTTCACCCTTTTCATTACGTCACCATTGGTAACGCTCAACCGACGTCTGTCCGACTCGCGCACCAAATAAAAACGACCGTGTAAACAGGCAATTATCGGACGCAAAGCACAACGGTTCACACGCCCTGAACCAGAGCCACACGAAGCACGCCGATCAGGCGCCGCTCCACCATCGCATACAGCAGTCGGGTTGGCGCTGCCACCGTGCCGTGACCGTGGTTTCTGGACTAACTTGTGCCGCCGCCGTTTATCAAAAGCCCCATCGCTCTCCCAACGGGAAGCATCGATTGGCGGGGCCGGCCGCGGCGCCGCGCAGTGTCGGCTCGCGCTGCCGGGCCGCTCCGAGCCGGCGGACCTGTTGCGTCGACGAGCCGACGGCGCGGCCGCATGTAGCGCAAACATCGGCCGAGGCAAACCTGTTGCGCGTCGCGTCGGCGCAGCGCCCGGGGCGGCTGCAGCCGACGGCAGCCCCGGGCGTCCGCGCCGACTGCCGGTCTCAACGGCAGCGACGAGGTGCCGCGCCCCGAGCTCTGATGCGCGTACGCTGACCGTCGTGGTGCCTGCTCGGCAGCCGGTTTGGCGACTAACTGTTTCCCGCTGCCACGCGCTCCTCCCTTCTCGCGAACGCCGACACCGTCCTCACCTGAGAACTCCAGACCACCGAGCTTCCAGGTGCCCCTCTTCGTGACGAATATGCTGCTGGGGCACACGTTGCTGTGCAGAATGTGTGCTGAATAGTGCAGGAAAGACAGCGCCTCCGTGATCTGAAAGCAGCACAGGACGTGGTTTGGACGGCGGTAGTGACGTATAATGAACCCAGCCGGCTCGCGCCAGTCAGACGGCCGAGCCCCTGTCCCTGACGGTCCCCAGGAGGCACGTGGCGGCCGGCGTTATCGCCCAGCTGCTGCCACCCTGTGCAGCAGCCGTCCATCGCTCGGTGTGGCTGCCGGCGACCGCGCTGCCACACTGCCCCGGGCTAGCAGTCCACCGCCCGGTGTGGCTACCGGTAACCGGCCCGCCACACCGCTACCTGAACCGGCCGTAGATTCGGCGTTCGCCCACCAACTGTCAGCTCATCGAGCTGGCCGTCGATTCGGCAGCCGCCCACCGGCTGTCGACTCACGCCTCGGCCCGGGCCGGCCGCTAGCATTGCGCATTGATCGCCCTAACCCCATTGATCGCCCGAGATCGCGGGTGCCCAGGTTGACGGCGCCGGCCGGGGCGCTCCGGAACGAGTGGTGACGTGACCCGCTGGCCGGCCGGCGGCGTCCCGCGGGGCGGTGTCATGAGCTTGGCTCCGGCCACGCCGCCGCTGATTGGCCCCCATCTGACACCGGCTGCCGCTCGTTACACACCGCCAGGGAGACGCGCGTCGCTGCGGTATCGCGCTGTCACGCGCGGCCTGCCGCGGCGGCATATCAGCGTATTGATGATATGTGTGTGTGCAAAAACCTGGTTAGGTTACATCCGCCGGGCGGGGAGGGAGACGCTTAGGAGTTCACCTGAGGATATTCTTAACTTCGCTTCTGCCAACTTGTAAGACCTTCTGGGCATGATGCTGGAAGCTTTCACGGCGTCAATGGTGCTTTTTGAGCATTCCCTTGAATATGACGTTTAGATCTTTTGTGTTCGATGCTGCGTATCATTTGTGTCGGTTGCCAGTGTGCTGGTCTCGGAACAGAAAGTGCGCGTTCATATTCATATTTAGTCACGAATAATTCCAACAAAGTGGCGCATTGCTCGATTCGGTATAATCACAATGGTGGTATGAATGCGATATTGAACCATGACAGCAACGCGACCACCATCGCCTACATCAACCATCCCGTCGTCACATGACTTCGTTAAAACAAAACCATCAATCGAAACCTACATCTGAATCGTCAAAACAAGTTACACAACGGTAAGTGCGCAACGTTACATAGAGGCAAGCAAGCCACGATTACACAACGGGGCCGTCCATCTCGTCCAGTCTGGGGCGGCCTCCCTGCGGGTGCGAGAAGCGGTTATGCTCGGCGGCAGTCGTCTCTAAGATGACGCCGCGCGATACGGAAAAGCTCTACGTGCCACCGCCAGACGAGGAGATGGCAGATCGAGGGCGCTCGCTGCTGTCGCACAAGTGGCCGGAGCCCGATAGTTTACGGACCCTCAGCACAGCGGGGCTGTCACCACCGGTATGAGGTCAGTAACACCACGCCAGCCTGGCACTTGAACAGTCCCCGCCATTGAGTCTAAATGCCGGCGAAGACCGCGTAGTTTTTGTATACATCATGCACAGCCCTTCGATACTTGAGAATGTTTCAAAACAACATGAGAACATGCACGTTGGTATATGAAATTATACATCAGCGTTACAAGCACGATATAGAGGTGGTTAAGGGCGTCACACTCGTTCGTCTGGCCTCGCCGCTATTAACAGCATGTGTCACTGACCTTGGATAACCTCATATGACCTTGTATTTTCCCACGTGCCCTATTGATAATTCATTGTGCATTAGAATGATATCACATATTTTCAGAGGAATATTCAAATTTTGTGCCCAATCATCTAAAAAATGCTGCCCATTTTGAGCTCAGCATGTGTTTTGCAGAAGGTATCCCTACAATCGTGACCTAGGCCAATGTCATGTGTATTCTGTTCATACGATAGTTGCGCGTGTGGGTTACTACTCTTAGTTAGTATTATCTAGTCAACAAACACCAAAACCGCACAACATACGTGCAAATTTGCATTATTTGCAAAAATTACAAAACTTCACCTCACCTTAGGACCACACCTTTTCGAAAAAAATCTGAAATAATGGTAGCACCATGTCTTCTTACTATAGACAGTTTAAGCGATGTCAAATAGCGCACAAAAAGTAATGCGTGGCCAAAGTTTTTAGATATTGATCTCTTTGCCATGACCTAGGTCACTGACCTTGGCAGATCAAGCCTTTAACTTTGCACAAACGACACCGCATTGATAGACGAAAAAGTACTGCTAATTTGGTGTTGCTGCGAGCGTTTGTTTCAGATCCAAGCTCCAAAACTTGTGGGGGAAGGTCAATTTCCTGGTCGTACGCGGGTGAACGGACTCAATGTCGATTTCGTCGTTGTGGCCGCTTGAGGTGTTAAATGTTGGCTATCAAACTTCGTCATTTTCAGTCGCGCGGTTAGCACAGAGGAAGCCCGTGTGGTGAGGGTGGGACCTGAGCAGATGTCTGCAATGTAGGCGAATCTGGCAATGTCCACAACAGGCATGTTACTCGCTACATCGTGCTCGAAATTTAGCTCGCGCTATGAACAATCCATTCTCCCTTATCGCATCGGAACAGTGATTTGATACGTCACATAACATACCTATAACAAAACCAAAGACATTCTGCGATTCCTGGACGTTTCCGCACCATTGGTTCTAAATGAGACATGTAATGACACATCGAGCGGTTTATTGCCAAATGAACACCGTTGGCGGCCTGGCAGGATCATGTGATATCCAGTGAGTGGTGACATTATATACTTATTCCAGAGAAAATGCCTGCGATCGGAAGTCAGATCGATGGCACACAGGTCGGTTGCAGCAAACTGTGCCAAGTGGCGTAATATGGTGGCAGTGATGATATTTTCAGGACAAGCTTTCCTTCAAGCGGATGTGAATGCGACTCATATTGATAGCTGAGCTACATACTATCGGGTCATAGCCTTCAAGAGGAGAAACGAATGTAAATTTTGGCGGTTTGGATTTTTTTCCGCGTTTTCCAGTGCGACTACGGTCGGAAAATGCAGTCGATGTCTGTGTGTGTTTAACAGCATTTTTAGGATCACTCGTGATTTGTGGGATGCGATCATCAAAATCGAAGCAATATGTGTGCTTACTGCGATGATGTCAGGGATACAGTTCGTAACATGAGTTGAGGGGAGCCTGAGCAGTGGCAAAACTTACCCCCAAAGTACGTAAACAATCGAATCTCTCCCCGGATATGGCCCACTTTTTTCCAAAACTTGGTGGTGAAGCTCAAGATGCGGAAGCTGGAGCCCTCGACTGAATAGGAAACTACACCTCTGGGTAGAATTGCCAACATATTGTAGATATCAGCGTGTGTTTAAAGTGTAAATACAAGGCGCAAGAAAAAATTGAATTAAGTCACTCTGGAACAGTATATATCTAACAAAACTGATACTTCCTGGTTACTGATCAGGAAAAATGGCATTGCATCAAGTCATTTTCAAACAGTATATGTCCAAGAAAAAATACACTTTCTGGTTAATCGGCAACGATAGGCGTAAGTGGCGGCATCCTCCACCCTCCCCCCCCCCCCGCCCACCACCACCCCCATAGTGTCGCATGGCTATAGAGATCAACATCGACTACCGCAGATGATGCAAAGACAGAATTCTGTAAGAGTTCCAAGTGCTCTTACAAAGAAGGCTTCGCAGCCTCGTTGACCTTTCCTAATGGTACATAAAAAGTCAGCGTTATTTTCATAGCTAATCTAGCTGGCACATGAATAAACAATGTGGATACATTCTAAAAGATGGGAGGAACCAATAAAGCCATTCAATACTATATCTAAAACAAACCAAACCTGCCAGTCAGCCTGAGCACGCCTGACTCCCAAAGAAAGGATCCGGCACGAACGAAGCAGTCTCACAATTATTAGCGGATGGACTGCCGTGGCCGGTTTGATGGGACAGCCAAGTGAGAAACTTGAGCTGTATCATGATGGTAAAAGCCTACCCCCCCCCCCCCCGAACGACAGTAAAAAATCGCCGGATATGGCGTACTTGTTAATGAAGGGAACTACTTTTATTCTTTTATTATTACTGTTATATTTTTTAACTGAAACAGAAGCCAGAAAGCACTGCAAGGTAAATCCTGTTTGAATTTTGAAGTCACTTAACTGAAGGCATCAGGCGTTAGACGACAGCTGGGAATAAATCGTCAGCGCTCCTCATTTTGCATTGGTTCAGTGGACCCTTTCGAAACCGATGGGACTCAGGGCTTTTACCAGAATTTTGATATGGGCTCTGCAGGGGTATGGGGCCCCTTGAACGTAGATTGTGGATCGAAATCGCTCAAGCATTTGTCTTAGCATGGCTGGCCTATGTCTGTCTGGAAATTTCGTCATTCATTCATAATCCTTTGGTGAAAAAATTGGGTTCATTGTTTTGAACATGGTGCTCGCAAATCCTCGCAACAAAAACCCCGACGCCCGGCGTTGCAGGCTCGATATGCCCCGCGGCGATGGTATCTCAGCTCACACCTACCAGTGAACAGTGGGCGGACGAAAATGACGATCCGCGTACTTAGAAGGTAGTCCGTGTGTTTATTTCATCTGTGCGATTTTAAGATTAACACGCGCTCGGATCGGGGGATCAAATTATCTCCCCCGAGGGTTTTCCCGGAATGGTTTCCGAATGGCGTGGCTACGCCGCGCCAAATTTTGCGTAGCTGTAGGCAATTGAGTAGCGGATCGTCTGACATAAATTTAGATGTACCCTGTAAGATCGCTGACCTATGGCAGGTCAAAGTCAAGCCCTGGTTTCAGAGAAGGCACGTTCTAGGGAATCATTCAATCCCATCAGACAGTGGGGTGCTAGACGAAGCCATACATCTCCGAGATTCTTTCTTAGGTAATACAACAATTGAATAAACAAATAGCATTGACTTAGGGTCAGGTATGAAGGTCAGACCAAGGTCAAAGCCAACCTGTTTTATTACTCTCGGGCTTGCTGTTTGGGCTGGTTTCTGGTGCTCATTTCGAATATATTGATAGCAGGAACCACATTATATACCTTCCATGAACTTCTTAGAAGTCAGAATAGGTCACTGACCTAAAACGACCAAGGTCAACATTTTGCTTTAGGGACATGCTGCCTAGCGTAATCTTTGTCGTTTATCCAAATGTAAAATTCAAAACAGTCTTACATCATTTTGGTCATCAGGACCTTTGAAAGGTCAAAAAGGTCACTGACTTTATCTGAGTGTGTGACATTTCCTCAGAACAGTTGCCTAGGTCTTAGGGGCCCTTTGGAGACCAATCTGGAATTTGACTTTGTTTGACCTTATCTGACCCGAAGGTCATGACTTGGGAACTTCAAACTCTGACCTAAGTGAGTTCACATACAGGTCAACACACCCTGTGAATTTGGTCTCTCTAGCTCTTAGTTCCCGAGATCTCAGGGAGGGGTCAAATTGACCCATTTACCCGAGCGAGGGGCATCCAACCGGCCGCCCGGGCACGTGTTAAAAGGTCAGACGAAGTCACTGACCTGAACTGAGCGTGTGACATATTTCTTAGAACAGTTGCCTAGGTTTAAGGAGCCCTTTGGAGACCAGTCTGGAACTTGACCATGTGTGACCTAATTTGATCCGAAGGTCATGATCTAGGAAGCTCAAATTTTGACCTAAGAGAGTTCACGTACAGGTTAACACATTCTGTAAATTTGGTGTATCTAGCTCCCTTAGTTTCCGAGATCTCAGGGGGTCAAATTGAGCTCCCCCTCCCCACCCGTGCGAAAGGTATCCAACCGGCCACCCGGGCGCGTGTTAACAATAAGAGTGAATTAGCCTTTACAACACTGAGAATTTGTGTTGGAATCCGATGGTGGAACAGGAAGAGTAAGTGTAGAATCTTTAGTTCCATTTTTGCTGTAACTGTTCACCTGTCCGGAGGACAGCCTCAAAGTTATAAAAAAAGATGCGCCCCAGGGTAATTTTTGGACGGCACAACTTGATTTTCAAAAAACGTTCAGAAGCATTATTTCACAACGGTCACTCTCACAAGCACGGTGCCCGTTGTTTCGCGTTGCCTACAGTGACAAATGCCGTTCACTTTTACATCATTCGCTTTTCTCCGCCCACGGACAGGACGGCCATCGTTTTTCCTGATACTGAGATAGCGAACGCAAAGGCGTGACGATCTTTGATGTGGTGTCTGACTGGCACCAATATTTACATTTCAATCAACAGTGCTTCAAAGGGTATGTGACACCTTCAGGTTTCATGAATCAATGCAGGGTGTCCTCAAATTAGGTGTACTCAGATTGACCTTAATAGCTTGTTATCAAACATAATATAAACAACATCTAAATATCTGGCATAACACAGTTGTTAACAAAAATGGCGATCATCGGCCATCAAGGCGTCCTTCAGCAACTTCTTAAATAAGATACCTTAATCACGTGCCTCGGCCCTACAGGATCACGGGCGGGTGAACCTGCTGCAGGCGGGTAATAGTGTCATCCAACATCTGGGCCAACAGCAGGGCTCACCCCACCGACGGCGCGGTCTTCATCTCCTCTGTCGCACGAGATTTATCGACATACAACCGATCTATGAGGACCAATCGGCCCCATTCTCTTGGATGATGCGCAGGGGGGGGGGGGGGGGGGGACGCGACTTGCAATCCCGGACGTTACATAGACGTTGCGCTGGAGCCGTTCGGGGCAGAGCTCTGCCTAAGACGCGGTCTCAGTCGCGATCAGGAATGGCAGCGGCAAGACGGTGCAGCTTCGCCCACCGCTCAGGGCTCATTCGGCTGGCTGCCGGACAATTTTCAGAACAGCCAATTTCGGCCGGCGCAGCATGGGCCCTGAATGTGCAAGAGGGGTTAATGTGTCTGGTCTGAAAGGCAGCTGTCTGAAATGTCGAGGAATACTAGGAGAGGTGGGTCTGGATCGAACACAGAGAGCTGTCCACTGGCGATGGCAGTTTTGTTCTCCACGTTGCATTTCGATATATAACTCAGCTAAACGTGAAAGTTGTGTCTAACAGCAAAAGCCCGATGGTCAACAGTGCCAACCGAAATCCCGATGCAATTTTTGTCCGATTTTATCCTCGAATTGTAAGCTCGAATGACACTTGGGACCAGTGTTAAGCTAAGAATAGCACGCATAGCACACTGTCATTGTCATACACATGGTAGGAAGTAGATGATTCCGACGGAGTTTAACAACACAATATCCGATATTGTTTAAGTGCCCACGATGTCATGACACAACCATCCGGTGGCAGAACTTGCCGACACGATCAGCTTTATTGACGGGGAAATGCACCACCCCAGGCGCAACTCAAGCCGACGCGGTTACCGCGCCGCGCACCCATCGTACCGTCATTGGCTGAGGGTCGGGGCCGGCCGCACCGCCGCGGCGCCAGTGTGCCACTTCCGCGCCGTCAGAGAACTGCGAAGACAACGACACAGGTTCGCTTCGCGGGACACCTACCTGGAGGATGCCATACTTGAGCTCGATGTCCAGAAAGGAGTAGTCCTTGGCGAAGCCGTGCCCGTTGCTCCTGTCACCTTCGCTGGCGGGACTCAGGACGTTGGCCAGGCACGCGAGTACTGGCTCAGAAGCGAAGGCTAAGGTCTCTGGGCACTCCTCCACCGGGTGCATCACCTGCGTACAGACACTGGAACTCAACACGGTCTCGGTCGCTTGGTTACCATGGTGACCAAGACGGCCAACAATTTTCGTGCGCACTGAAACGGTACGTGGAAGATTGGCCATAAATTTAATATAGGATGACAACAACGCACTGGCTTTTCTCGCCTCTGGCGCTACACGCCGTAACAAAGCGGTTGAAATAAGTGTGGGATAGTATTCAGCTTACCGGCATTAGATCCATCCTCCCTCCTCAACTTGAGGCGAGATGGTCATTACAAATTCAAACGTTGCAGGCAAACGCAATAAATTTAAAAAAAAAATATTTATAGTCTCGCCATATGGCCTTTTCAGTGTCTCAAATTCGAGGTCAATGAGAATGTTTCACATTTAAGGATATTAAGGCAAAACATCATATATGAAATAAGCTCTCTTATGATTATTGGTACACGTTTAAGCGGAAAACACTGCTCTAGATAATACGGTTCCTCTGTTTAGTGCATACGCTCCCAAATATGTCATTGTTTTGATTACGTCATTGTACTCTTCACAACCTTGAGAGCCTTTTGACGGCCGTGTTATCTGGAAATCGTGCTCATAAACGCCAGATATAAATGACCCGACAATTAGAGGTGGACTGGCCTTGATCGCCTCATGACTAACGGAAGGAGATCATTTTAATGACGTTATTACGTTGTCATGAATGCTTGAGTGTCCCTGAAAAGGCTCCCCGAAAAATTCTGCACATCTTCACAGGCGCGTAGCTCAGAAACTAGAGATGATTACGTCTGAAGAGGGGCAGGACTATGAATTGCAATGAATGCTCTTCAAGTGTCTATTTCAGGTCAAAGCCCGATACAACTGCGGAACGCTCCCTTTAAAACAGCACCTGAAGCATCCTATGGTTGCTGTTTTTCAGGTTTTCTTCATTCACTGTATATGCAGCTTCACACGGTGCTTTAAGACTAACCGAGACTGTAAGCTGCGCCATAAATTTAATATAGAATGGCGACAGCAAAACACCAGCTGACTAAAGTCTGCGAGACTGAACAAAGCCTGTCCCTCCCCCACGCTTACTCCAGCTAATTACGTTAAACTAGTCATGTCGTTTAGCAATGGTTGCAGAGCATCCGATCGGAAGTCAGTGATGTTGATCTTCATAAACAATAAGCGTTGACTGTAGTGGCGAAACCCGAAATCGACTGACAGCAAGCGTGGGGACCAGACTACAGCTGCCACTTTTGAGCGTGTAGGTCCGCGACACGCGGGCTTAAAAAAACCCACGGGCTTTTGGCAGATGTTTCTGACAAAGTTGTTGGTAACGGCGGGCTTCCAAGAAATGCGGTATTTCAAATTAAGAATCCGCTATACAAATGCACGATAAACTATTTTTTAGTTGAGCATACTAAACACTCATGGAAAGGGAGGTTTTGCAAGATATTTAACAATAAAGAAGCAACATAATCAATGTTTAGGCGTTCCAGATACCGAGTATACTCCTTAAAGAAATCTGCCATGATACATTCAATAACTCTGTAAGCAGAATGGCCTTAGTAGGCACTGTTATACTACACTCAAAATTAAACTATACAAAATGTATTCTGAGTAGTCAAAATCCCCACAGCTCCCGAAAGAGCAAAAGCCATTTTGAACTTCGCAAGAAGTAGTCGTGAGTAAGGCTAAATGCCATTCATAACATAAAACATACATTATGAGAACTCACCATGTCTGGCAAAGCTAATAGACTCAGGTACTCAGGCCATGTTCAAACAACAAACGTCTCCTAACAGGTCCCACTTGAGCTTGAATGGAAAGGGAGCCTTAAATCAGGCTTAAAACGCATGCCAGTGTCCGTAACCTTGTACGTACGTAACCTTGATAAAGTAATGATGCTACGCAACCTTGATAAATCAATGATGTTCTGCTGAATGCGTGCCAAATCCCGTGGTTTTGCCCACGGTTTGTTTGACCACCTGGACAGTGGCGCACTTGTCTATGCCGCAGCATCGAGGGACGATTGTGGCGGACATAGGTAGGCCTTGGTGTAGCCAAGGGCATGGCCATGGTTGGTCAATGTTGTTAGTTGTTTATAATCCGTGCGAGGCATCGATTTAGCTTTTCTCTTGTATCGTCCAGATGGAACGACTGCATGGGAACACTGCATGCATGGGCCTCGGCAGTATTTTGTGACAAAATGGCAGCATGCTTGGGCAGTATTTCGTTCATGTAAGGTACGATTTGAAATAGTAAAGAACGAGCTGTAAACATGGTTAACACAAAAATGACGAAGTCGAACGCACCCCAAATGCAATCTGATCCAAGGTTATGCCTCACATCTTGTGACGTCATTATCGACCAACGGCGCCACAAATAATGAATACCTCATAGGTCGTGCTTCGATCAGGTTTAGTGAAAGCATTAATTATCCTGGTTTAAGTAAAAACGCCTCATTACTTCACCAGCGCGCGTGAGGTGCGTAAACCACTTCAACTCTGACTGCAAAAGATTCTGGCGTGTGTGTCTCGGTGTTCTCCAGGAACGACGTTTACGCCGCTTACAAACGAGGTCGTATTTGCTAGCCAGTTGTCACGCTTAATCTGTTGTTCAAAGATAAAGCGGGTAGCATGAAGTCCTCTATGGCCCACTTGTCTTTAACGAAATAAATCGTCGACCTGCCGTCATCTTGGTTTATCGTTTCACCGGATCGCTGGGGAAATTGACTTCGGGTGTATAATGAATCCAAAATTGGAGAAAACTTCTCAGTGAAATTCGAAGCCTCGCTGCTGTACGCAAGTAAGGGTAGTCAACCATCGTTCAGACACTGCTGGCACTACTCTGTATGCAATGGAGAAGGTTGCGAATGAAGTGTATATCCGCAGTTCAGCAATGTTTTAGTGATATGTGATATGGTTGGTGATATGTTGTCCTTATATATATATTATAATATGGTATATCTTACAGAGATTATATGTAATATGCATGCCATATATATGCATATATATATATATATATATATATATATATATATATATATATATATATATATATATATATATATATATATATATATATATATATAGCATAAACATACATAGCATTGCTTCATTGAGAAAATGGCATTTGTATGACTTCAAATACCAACCACCTTCGAGCTACCGATGTTCCATTTTGTCTCTACAAAAGACATAGATACACATATCACGCAGGGCATAAAAGTGACTACATGAACCAAGGTGAATGCAAGTTAGTAATGTTTTCCAGAGTAACGTGTTATCATATTTCCTTTCGTGCAAGGTCCGGGTCTTCACATTATTTGGAAGTGCCACGTGAAGAGTCGTAAAAATATTCCCATGTACCCTCAAATTTGATGACTTTTCCAAGAATACGGTGTTTAGGCTTTCAAACAAATACATACTTTGAAAACAGCCACAATGACAGTGAATATTGGTAAATTTATTCTATTTTCTTCTTTTAGTTTAAATGGTGTGTGCAGGCCAAATGACATTTATCATTGCTAGTCTTGAAAAAGTGAAACAAGCTTAATATATAGCCTTAAAGAATTGTAACAGCTCTTTGTTGTGGAACTCAAGCCATGACAATCTCATCTGCCAAGAACAAAAACTGTGTCTGCTGACTTGTGCGGGTTTTTTTCTTAAAAAAGCCTACTGGGTGGGGCAGGTTTCAAATTTATCACGCGGGGATCGCGCGGGCTTCCCAAATAAACAAGTGGCAGCACTAACCCACGCCCTTGCAGTTCATCGCACAGCCTTGTCTTGAAATGCAGTTCAGTTCCCGAACGAAGCGTGCGAGATGTTATGGACAGCTGGTTAAGTGCTGCGAGAGACTGCAAATGTTGCCACGGATGGGTTCCGCGGCACACCAGAAAATAGCTCGCCATCACTTATTCATCTAAATGGCGTGTGGCGAGAGACAATCACACCCTGGGCGAATGGGCGCATTCTGCCCAAGCACTGGTTCATGGCATAGAATGAGCCGCACGTTTGGATCCATTGCGGCTCTCGCGCCATTCTCTTCACGTACCTATGCAGACGTCTATCGAATTGTCAGGCGCGGGGCGCGGTTGGTAGCATTGGTGATCGTGACCAAACAGCCGTCGCTCTACTGCATTGGCAAGCCCCACGTTAAAGCGGGTGTTCCCGCTGGAAGATCTTTAAGCAAGCAAAGTGTGATGAAAGAAACATTTTCATTACTACTGGTATAATTTTAGGTGAAAAAGACTGCTCTAGACCGCCAAATTTTGTCCATTTAGTAATTACGCTTACCAACACGTTATTGTTTGAATGTTTAGTGAAACGTTTTATGGTGTCAGAAGCACTGCCAAGCTGGCCGTAAGAAATCATCACCCTAATATTGCCTTGAAGTGCTACCACTCACGGAGATAGCAGTGGTGAAGTTGGACGTGTTTGGTGTAGCAAATATCGTTCTCAGGTCGTGTTTTGACCCTTCCTTGTGGTGCTCTTGTATATTTGTCCATATGTTTAAGTCGTTTACTTGTATTCATATGCTCGGTTATGATGCCTTTACAATGCTATTCCACAACAAATCTTGTTTCCGCAATAGCCGGCACTCACATCCATGTTGTTTTTGTTTCATCCAGCACAAAACGTGGTCCGTGTTCGCCAATTTTGCGCTGTCTACACAACATTCATCGAGAGCCGAATCAAGTCCGTTATATTTACAAATCGTGCTGACTTGATTTCATTCTTCGGGGCCTTTAACGGCGCATCACCATTGGAGTGGCAGCATTTGAATGACATTTCTCGGCGCCATGCCTCATGCCTGATTGGTCTTGAAGGGTTCTGCACGTCCTTGCGGGCGTGCAGCTCAGAAGCTAGATGGTTTTAGGTCTTAACCCGCGCCGGCTCGGGGGAAAGTTGATTCCCCCCCCCCATGGTTTTTGGGCGCAGGTCAAAAACGAACACTTCAGCAGCACGAAATTGTCGGTACCTGCTCATCTATCAATTTCGCATGCTTTGTGCAAAGTTGATGTCTTG